GGCAGCTGGCCGCCGGACTCCGAGCCTCACTCCAACTCAGCAATAGACCTATCTTTGTATTTAAAATTCCCGCCGTTCGATCCCAAGACGTTATACGGCCATTTTAAATTGTAAAAATGTAAAGTGCAAATTATATCGCGTTTTTTTTTCAAAGCTTTTATCCCAACCGTGATGTTTGATTTTTTTTCTTTGTGATCCAATGTGAGTAGCATGCTCCTATTTTTTTTCGTGACAATGCTTAAACTTCAATGTATTCTGATGGTTATTACATTGACTTAAAACACTATTTCGTGTTATTTGTATCATTTCATAAGTCTATATCATTTAAATAGGGACTATATTGGTGGTCATATAACAAAAAACGTTAGGATTTGAATCATGGTTTTAACCTTGGATGCGAAACGGCGCATGCGTACCAGAGTTATATTAAGTATACTGATAGTAGAGTGTGTAGTAGGTACAGGGCGGCCGACGTATCTTGGCGAGTCTGAAGTAAGCCGATTAGCTGCGCAGTACTTACACAATTTTGTTCCCAAAAGGTCCATTGCACAGACAAACGGCTAACTTCAGACTCGCCAAGATACGTCGGCCGCATTGTATTTGCTTATATTTACGTATTATAGGTACTTTTTGGTGTCTGCCACCGGACTTCGTTAAGGCGATCGATATCATTTGGCTTTCAGGGCCCTGATTGGGCTGCAACAAGTTATTTGTTTACTGCGAGATTTCTATATAAATTAAATACTTACTTGTGCACAATATCTTATGCAATTAGTAGGTAGGTGAAATAAAACAAGAAATAAAATAAAAACAAACCATTTTATTTACTTAAAACATTTTTCTGAAATGAAAATTATTATTTATATCACTTTTCTTTAAGTAACTCATTGTCTAAGCTATAGTTATCTAATGTATGGTATAAGGGTTTATTTATAAAGAACTTTTACTAAGCGGAACCCTAAAACTATGTATTTATATAAACGCGAGTACAGGAATTCGTATTCAGTTATTTTTACATAATTATTGTGATGTCAATTAGGCCTTATAATTGTTCGCAAATACCTTCAGTAAAAACAGGTACAAATTTTCTACTACACTGAAACCAATTTAACTATGCAGCTCACAACGTCACTAGTTTCTTCGTAAAACAGTTTTATATTGTCATTTTGTACTGAATTTAATTAGTACCTCTTCTTGCCACCCACATAGATAATTTGGTTTTATTATATTTTATTTGTTATTACATATAGTACAAGTACATAGTTATGTATTCTATGGGAAAAGCGTTTAAAACAATAAATACATTATTTTGGTTATAACTATATTTGGCTAAAATTAATTACAGAAATAAGGGTAAAAATATTTTTTTTTAAATTATGTAAATATAAAATTAATTTACCTAACAGATTATTTCTAAAAGACTATTTGTATCCTACAAACTTTAGAGTGGTGTGAAGTTTCATAAACCTCACGATTCATAACACAAAATAAAATACATTTTTTAAAAGTCAATTATTACCCATGACTAGTAGTAATTTTATTTCCTATGGCAACACTAGAATACGACCACGATAGAAAATAATTTTGAGCATTACACTTCAAAGTTTGTAGGCTAGGCATCAGCCATTAAAATAAAAAAAAATAAAAAAAATTACTATGCTTATTACTGAGTACAAAGGACAACGTTCACCCATTTAATTAAAGAAATTTAAATATTTTTTTTTATTTAAAACTAAATCTGACGTAATAGGGTTTACAATTATTGCGACGTCCCTTCCATATCAAGTTTCTAGCTCAATCTAAATATACTTTATTAGGCCTAAAAAGATACACACCATTGCACAATTAATGACACTTAAAAAAAGTTATAGTCGCGAATCTCTCTTTCGTTGATTCAAATAAAAAAGTACTCTATGCGTAGACATAAGAATGGTATCAAGTATATGAAGGTAAATATTTAAAAAACAAAAGTATATTGTTGTTGAACTTTGTCTTATTCTGATAACTATAAGAATCAAAATTGATTGACAGAAGTGTAAAGCTAGCAATGTACGTTTACTGAGCAATGACGTGTATCCTTCCCTCATAAACAGATGTATCACATTGTATCCCTTAAAATTAAGTGCATAAGATTGAAATTAAAATAACAAAATAAAAGGAAATATTTCATAGTGCTGAGACTTTGAGACTCAGTTTCATAATTCTTCATTCAATCAAAATATTTTACAAAATATAGATTGGATTTTTACACAGGCGTACTACCAACTGAAATGCGCAAGCGAAATTCAACCTAAGGTTAGGGTTATATATGGTCGATTATTAATTATCCTCGCATTAATTTTCACCATTACAGATTCAGTATTATCTGTGGTTAGTATTGCGCGGATTTTACATTGGCACATTAGTTAACTGATATTACTTTATCTTGAACAAACAAAGCAATCTACAACTTTGTCAAGAACAGTCATACTTATAATATGAAAAAAGTACACATAAAAATAAACTCTATGATTAAAGAAATTGGTATAAAGATTGCTTAAAAGTAACTTACGTAGGTATACATTAGGATTTTTTTAACATAAAGCTTTGACTGTAACAGTATGGATAAAATATTTTTTTTAATTAAATTGAATTTTACTAAATAAGATTGTCTATCTAACTACAAAAGCTATTTACAATTTTATTTATTTTATAAGTACATCAATTTTATATAAAACATTTTTACATGGTATGAAAGATTAGTTTTAATACACGAAACATTATACCAATAGTATTAAAGTAGGTTCAATGAGTCTTGGCCTCTTTGTCATGCGATTAAACGAATGAGAGGTAAGTTTGAACTACAATGAGTGATAAGGACAGCGATATGCTTCGAAAGCAGTTCAAATACCAATCTATGTCAGCCTAATTATAATTGAAATTTCGTTCAAAATTATTTACCTTTTGATGATGATGATTATATATTTATTTTTGCGTAGTAACTATTATCAGAAATACATTTATTGACGTCCTTCTTGATTTAAATAATTGAGTGAAGCTCTACTAGTTTCAAGTCAAAACGGGACTCTTATTTTACGAGCAACGTGCTCAACGCAACATAGTTAGTAGCGCTGCGACTTTTCATTTCTATAAATTTTAGTTTATCAGTACACAATATTTTTGTAAATTAATTATTATTCATGACCAGTGGCAGCGCGACAGTCGCCGCGTCGCGTGTAGCGGAATGCTGCTCATGAATATGGGCCTCTAGCATGGCTTGAAACTAGTCGAGTATCTCGTCAAATTATTACGTGAGTAAGCCGAAAACATAATAATTAATTTAGAATGTCTCACGAAAGTTATAATAAAAATATGTTTGTAGTTAAAAAACATATTAAAATATTACTTTTCAGAAGGTAAAAGTAAAGGTAAGAAGCATCTATCTGTAGGTTAACCTTTTTAGTGTAAACAGTTAGTTTTAGTTTGGTACCTATTGACACTAAAAATTCAAATTCATGAAATTCTGTTTTAATTATGATTGATTTACTTAATTTTTTTTAATGAAAAACTTGAGTTCCGACAAACTTACGCAACTGCTTAGGAGCACCACTAGTGAACGTATTTTATTAATTTTAGGCCTTTATTATTATTTACTCTGGTAATTTTTTACGTATGTAATCGGCAAATATAATGTAATTTTACTATTTAACATTTACTTACACAAAAATACAGGGGTCCCTGAATAAAAAAAAATGTAAAAATTATATCATGAATTACATTTTTTAATTTACATTTATATATTTTTGTCGAAATAAAGTACATTAAGGTGTAGGTACATACTACTGAAACGGATACCTAGTATATTAAAATAAAAATATTTTTCATTGTATTATTCCTAAACACTTAGGCCGTCGTCATAATATATAGGTAACAGGTGATTTTTATTTAGAGCATAACTTTGACACTGGTTACAAGCACAGATAATTTGCAACATTTTTTGCGGACACTGATTGGTGAACGCAAGAGATATAATGGTTAATGTTTATAATATTATGTAGATTGAAGAATGAAGAATGATATTAAGATATGGAGTTAACCAATGTGTTAACGTAACGTTAACGCAAAGGGGTGAACAGTGTTTTGACTGCACGGTTGGTGCGGTGGCTGGGCAACTGGCTGCCGTGCAACGTGTCGCGGGTTCGATTCCCGCACGGAACAACTCTTTGTGTGACCCACAAATTGTTGTTCCGGGTCTGGGTGTCATGTGCATGTGAAATTGAATGTTTGTAACCGCACCCACGACACAGGAGAAAATCCTAATGTGGGGCAACGTTTTTTTAAAAAGAAAAAAAAAACAGTCTTAAGGAGATTAGCATACATAAAAGACGGATTAGAATAGGATCTTATGTACTCAGGATTATTGTTACCCATCTATAATCTACTAGATCCAGCTACGCGTTGCTGTGGCTAAGGTAAATAATATTGTGACTATAAATTGAGATGTAAGCTATCCTATCTTTCAAGTTGGATCAAAATGCACACGGAATGGAAATCAAATTCAAAATCACACGTAACACGAACTTGTAATTTATAAAGATAATAATCTATAAATAAAATTTAAGAGCAAATATCAAGAACAGCTGAACCTACTTCGATAAAAAAAATGTTGTTATATTTGGTATCCTCAGAAGATTCAAGATTCTCTAAGATTTTCTTTATACTTTCCTAAAGGGGGTGAAGGTGAAGGCTGGCGGTAAATAACAACCCATTGGATGCCGTTGCGACTTATTAACATAACAAATGACTGCAGTGGTTTGCTAGTTTCTTATACTTTAGCTACCTTAACTATCATGCGATCACTAACAACTGCAGAGTAAGGTCTATCAAGCGTCTGTATTTTAAATTAATTTTCCCTGTTAATTTTTTTCGTGGGTAAATAAACAATTAACAATTTCCCCCTTTTTCTCTCAGCTTAGCTCAGCCACAACCTGACAAAAAATCACACTTGTATATTTCATATTTTTTTTTTTATATATTTTACAATGTCAAAAAAATCATGTCTGTTAATGATAGGTGTAGAACATAACTTATATGAACAGTGCCGCATAAGTTATCAGAAACTTAATGAATATGGTGAAACAGGAACTCAACATTGCAACAATTGTTAATATCCGTCCATCAACGTCCACATCAAAAACGCAGAAAATTACCTGAACTGCAAACCCGCACAAGATCAATATACTCTAGAAATAAAACACGCTGTATAGTCGTCTATGTTTTTTTTCGTAGGTATGTATATCGTTCCTACCAAATGCTGCGATGAATTTACATATTTAACAATTATAAGTAAATATTATTCAGTAGTAAATGTACTTCAATAACCTACGCTCTCAGCGCAATTATAATAAATTCTAAGTAGAATTGTTTTATGTACTATATTGTCAATCTGTACTTTACATAATAAAATGCCCACCACGTTTATCTACACTATCTCCTTTGTTTATATACATTTTTTACATAAAAAATTCATTTGTCAAACTTACAGACATTTATAACCAATCGAATTAGTCTCATTTCAATTTCATATTTTGTTGCGCAGCTATTTGTCTTAATGTAAAAAAGCACGAAATAAGAATCACGATTGAATGTAAAAATATATAATATAATTTAAAAAAATTGATATCGTATACCTAATAAGTTACAAAATTTAATAATCAACATGTATAAAGCATACATTTCAATAGAAAAGAATAAATTGTTTTATAAACGAAAGTAAAAAAAAAAATATAAAAAAGTAAAACAAAACTTTCACTGTACATAAAAGAATTAAATTAATAAAAACGGCTAATTTTTCATAAGCATCTATGTTTATAAACAGCAGACAAATTTCTAGTGTTGCCATTTAATAGGTTGAGTAAATTACCAACAAAATTATAACATAGAAAACATGGAATGATTAGTATTTTTTTGAAACAACAGTCGTTATCTACTTACAATTATTTACTTCAATTTATATTAATACATAACATCATAACCATAATTGTCGCACAATCACAATTGACTATAAGTGACAAGACGTTTCATGACAGTCCATATACGTTTTCACACATTTAGTAGTTTTTGAAAGTTCTGTTTTTTACCGTTATAAGATATTTTTTCTCCAGGCAACACTAGATACCTGTCATTATCGTAGTGTCAGAGCACGAAGCGTATGTTACCGATCATCGCCAAACAATAGTTTGGCGAAATATGTCCATCAGCTATGCTCGTCAATATTTGCTAATATATGAGTATATAGATGGTAGTTTATGACTTGTTTCACTTTGTAGTCAAGATTTGACAGGCCGTCTTTGACGAATGATTTACTTTGTGACAGGAGCTGGTACCTAGAAAAAATATAAACATTTTTATTTTGCTTTGAAAGTTAATGAAAATATAGTTGGTTTTAATGACCTTTTCTTAGCATGTCTTAAGATAAATAAAGACTATGTATAGTGTAATTAGAGATCTAAGGGTTCATACTGGTACAGTAAAAAAAAATACATTTTCCATACGTACCTTTTAGGATTAGGTCGTTGTTTTTTGTGTGTCAACATTTCGTATCGCGCTATAGACATTGGGTACCTTGCTATGTGGTAATTATTTATTTTTAACCTGAAACGATAAAATGAACTCGTTAATATTTAGCAGTGTGGAATACGCTTGTAATGCTTGTCATACGTTGTCGTGACTACAGGCTTGCTATGAAGCGTGTAGTCACGATACGTTTATTCCTTATACTTTTAGGGTACGACATCGTGTTTAAAGAAGTTTGTTCCTTTAGGTATGTAAAATTTTTGGATTCAGATTTTTGATATTTGATTGTCAAAAGTTTAGTCACGTAGCCACTGATAATCAAAAAAGTTCTTACCTATCCGACATATCATCATCCTCGCCGCCCCACCCCCAGTACTTGTTCGAGTAGCCATTAACTTTGCGTAGTTGCTCATTAGTCATGGCTGAAACGCCACCGAACAAGGTTTTGTATGGTAACCTGGAAAACGAAAATTGTGGTTTATTAAAAAATACATTACGTTCAAATTACAACTAGCGATGAGATACTGCACCACCTGCTCTTAATATATAGCGGGATCAAATTACATAATAAGTAATAATGAATTTAATCAATACAAGAAAATCAATTCTACTCTTTTTCAAATAGAGCTGGTATTTGCTTAAAGTGGCACATGAATGCTTACTTATATTTAAACACATCGACAGCTGCCGAGAGATGGCGCGGCTGTGTAGTGCAGGAATAAAGGTTCCTAGTGTCTGTGGGCAGCAGGTCGATGTCGTGGAAGATGAAACATGTGAAGTTAGGCTCCAGTCTCTGACTCTCCACGTACCCCACGTTCATCAGCTTGGCACGGTTGAAAGGTTTGTCACCTGGAAACATTTTGCAGTCGATTTTAGTTAACAATTTTAACATTTTTCTGAGAAAAATTTAACGTGAATGGGCCGAGGTTGCGGGGCAAGCGCAATGAGGCTCCGTGGCCTTGGCCCAGAGCAGGAGAAGGAAGGAGGTTATTGTAAGTTAGTAAGAGTCTGACACTCTCTCGCCTTACCCTAGATGGGAGAAGCCACTTTATGATTATCCTCTGACAAAAAAAGGGTCGTATATTTGATATTTATTTCTACCGTAAGAGCTGATTAAAGAGCCAAGCGAGAAATCCAAAAGGACGGCAACGCACTCGTTACTTTTCTGGTATTGCGGCTGTCCATGCGGCGCCAATTGCTTACCATCAGGTAGTCCATTTGCTCGTTTGCTGACATATCGCATAAAAAACATTTTACCTTCTTGTTCAATAATGAATATTCCATATTCAATTTGTTGTTTCATTAAGAACGGATGCATGTGGTTAAGGAATACTGCTAAATGTTGCTGTCGATCTCTGTAAAGAAAACAGACAAGCAATTTGAAAAATAGAAAGAAAGAGAAAGAAAGAAAAGAAAGAAAAACATTTATTTTTGCGCAAGCGCACACACATAAAACAAAAATACAAAAAAAAGAAGAAAACAAAATAATAATAAAAATCTAAACTAAATGATACATATAAAAATTAAATGACTTAAAAAGTTAATAGGTAACAAAAGAACAAAAAAAAAACAAAAACTTTTATCTATGGTCCACAGAGTATAACATTATGCGCGATGTCGCGTGTATTTTTTATAATCTGTGGACCACAAGGACAAGAAAGTAGCATTTGTGTTTGTAACAAACAATCTCACTAACAATGTAATAACAAGAAACACAAATACAAAACGTTTACAAGATGGCTCGGTTCTCATTTAATTGACTAATTTCACATTGGCCTGATACAACAAAAGTCTAGTTCCAGATGGCGCTAGTGAAACATTAAATAAAATAAATATTCAACAGCACGAAACGATCTACTTGTGTATTGGATATGCTTTTTTCGCACTAGCGCCTCTGGCGGCAAATTATGTATTAATTCGTACAGTTCCATCTATTGAGTGTAATAAGTAATTATTTTGGAATAATAGATTTACCTGAATGGCACTATGATGGCGACTTTATGTCTTGCGGTGCAGTTGGGGGGGCTGTATCTACCTCCGAATTGCACTTCTGGATATTTCTTTTCTATCGTCGCTAAATCCATGTCAGTTTTATTGGCTTGTATGGGACCTGAAAAACAATTTATTGTTAGGTAATTGATGAATTTATCAAGTAATTTTTCTCTATCTCTACTACCATAATACAGTAGTTTCCAACTAGTCAAATTCAATACTTTTATCCAAATGTCAAAAACGATAACTTTCTATAAAATTTGTATGAAAAACTGAGTTTTGACGTCATAGTTTTATTTAGAGTCAAATAGTTTAATTTAAAAAAAATTGCTAAAAATATCTAAAATTCAGTGTATCGATAGGTCGATGAATAAAAGTACAGTTAATTGTCAATATCTTATTGTATTGAAACATCGAATTAATTTATTTTAGACCTAGGAAACTACCCAATTTTAACTTACAACTTAGTCTAGACTTTATCGTTTAGGTATATAAAGGCGAAAATTACAAATATCTTTCATTTATTGCACTTCAAGTCTTAGTAACTAACACCCGGCTTCCGAAAGGTCGATCAATGTTAAAATCAATTTAATCGCTTTTCAAGTGATCTGATTGTTTGACTGAATTATCAACAACCAATCAGATGACTTGACAAGAGATTTAGCAAGAGATTAGTTAATTAGCGTTGACAAGGCTTTCAAAAACCGGGTGTAGGTCTTTGATTATGGGACTTCAAAAAGGTTTTGCTAAACTTACCCAAGTCTGTAGGAAGCTCACACATCGGCAGACTACTCGAATCATTTTTGTTAGTGTTACTCATATCTGTAGTTTCATTGTTTAAGCTGTCCATCAACTTGTTTAAGAGGATGGAGCTCTGTGTCGACTGTGATTGTTCAATCATCACTTTGTTACCCATCGTTTGGTTGTTATGTATACTTTGGTTCTTGTAAACTGGCATCGTATTTGTCGTGTTTACTGTTGGGGGTTTCATCAAATTCAACATCGCACCACGATTACCAGTCAACAATTGTGTTTTGTCGGAGTTTCTGAAATGAAATTGATATTTATTGTTTTTGTATTTTAAGACTTTGTGACCGCCACCTCTCGACTTGGAGAAGGAGAAGGAACAGAGGACCGATGGGCGAGAAAGAGGGATGGAGCTATACACTTTTTATAGCTCCATCCCTCTTTCTCGCCCGGAAGATTCACGCTTTAACACTACATGGTAGGACCACAGGGTGGAATTTAGCTATTAAAAGTCTGACATTTTCTCTCATTCCACCCAAGGTAGGAGATGTCAAGAATCCAACAGACTTTAGCGAAATGGCGCAGGATTACAAAACGGCTGTTACATGCTGATGTTAATGTTTTTATTTTGTCAAAACGAATTGCATTTCTGGCATAAAGCTGAGAATGATTTTAGTTGGGCTATTCTTGAATATTTTTATAGAGATATATTGTGTGGTGAAAACAAGACAGATTGTTTTTTCACTTTCACATACCCATCACACCCAGACCCGGAACAAAAATTTGTGGTTCACACAAAGAGTTGTTCCGTGCGGGAATCGAACGCGCAAAAACCGTACAGTCTAATACAAAGAAAAAAATAACATACAAGTAGGTCCTGAGCGGAGAAGCGTCGAGTATGGAGCCGAAGAGATACTCGACTGCTGCTAGTGCCAACACGAAGAGTAGTAGGAGGCGCAGGACGCGAGACGCGCGCCCGCCCCCTGCGCTTCCGCTGCCGCCCATCAAGGCATGCAGGGCGCGCGCGCACACGCCGACCTCTGTAAACAAACCAATAATAATAATAATAAATTCATTTATTCAAATGATCATGACTAATTTTAAGGCCCAATCCTTCCCCTCCTCGAATTCCTAAAAGGTCGACAACGCTCTCGTAACTGTTCTGTTGTTGCGGGTGTCCATGGGCGGCGTTGATTGCTAACCATCAGGTAATCCGTCCGTTCGTATGCCGATCTGATAGACATGACATGAAAAAAAAAATTTTTAAACTTTCACTTAATCTCTATATTAGTAGATTAAAAAAAAAACTAAACATCTTAACTTAATATAACCGTCTGTATAAATCACTACCGTAGTTCTATCACCGAAGTGGAAAGTCTGCAGCAGCGGTTTACATACAGGCAGTCAGGTCTACTAGCTATACAGCGTACAAAGTAGGTGGTAAAAGGAACATATCTATTTAACACGTGGGATCATTGAAAACCAACAAGTTTCGCCTATTAATAAAGGACCCTGCCAATCAATAAAGACATTTAAAACTTTCTCTTGGGCAGAAGGTTTTCATAGGCGACATTGAATGCTTAAAAATACTAAGTTGTATAAAGCTGTAAATTCGAGACTTTCCCCTTAATCGGTAGCTCTTACACCTATCTACGAGTGTAATAAAAGCATTTAAACAGTGTGACGAGTTTGATCAAGTCACTGCATACATTTTGATCGAGTTTGGTTCAGAATTGGTATTTTTTGTGAAGAAAAAATCATCAAATAACGTCTCTAACCCAGGGTGAGGCGAGAATGAGTGTCAGACTCTTACTGACTAAAAGCCACCTTGTTCCTTTGCCTGAATTAGGCCGAGGCTGCGGTACCTACCTGATTGACCTAGCCCCGCAACCCTGGCTCAGAATTGTCCGAGTCAGAGGAAATCAGAAAAAAAATATGGGTTGAGGTATTCCTCGACGAGAAAACTAAACAGTAGTTACATACATAGGTACTTTATAATACGTGGCGCAGTTTCACCATAAACGAAAACACACACAAACGCACTTTATTCATATTACAATGAATATAAGTCCCAGAGGGAAGGGTCGTATATTCACTTAATTTACCTGAGAACGCCAGGTGGGGACATCTATCGGATGACGAAATACATTTTTAACACACGCGCAACTCCCTGGAAAAGGTTCCTTGTGGCCATTTTTTAACAGAATCCGGATTTATCGTGGCAAATCTGATACGCTTAAAATCGGTCCAGCTGCCCGTGAAAAAGACTTTTAGCGTTTGGGATTTTGTAAAATGTTGATAATTATCTGCATTTTATTGATCAACGGTAAAACAAAAGCCATGAAAATCAACAATTTTTCCTCATTGCTTCACCGCGGTCGAGTAAAAATACTACGTTTCCGCGTATTTAGCCCTATACTTTAAAAACAGTATATGTTCATTTAATAATGATGACAAGGTTTAAGGGTATATTCCATAATGAAAGAATTTGGCCAAAATAATATAAAATTGTTTGTATAGGCAGAAATTTAGACAGTGTCGTTTTACAAATAAAACGACAAGAGAGTGAAGTTAACTGTCACATTTAAATTGTCAATTTTAGGTGAACTTAACGAGTCGCATTTACGGAGCCTGTAATCATACATTTAAGTTTGCGTTTACAAAGAGATTCCAACACATAAAACAGGGCTACCGAAATCTATACATTTTCTAATAAATTGGGATTCATGGACTTTCTTGAAACTGCGCCTGATGAGGGATTCTAGTGACATTTTAATTTCACCCTAGGTTTTTTTCCTGTGTCGTGAGTGCGTTTAAAAACATACAATTTTATATACGCATCACACCCAGACCGCACAATTTGTGGGTCATATAAAGGGTTGTGCCGTGTGGGAATGGAAACCATGATAGTTGAGCGGCAGCCAGTTGCCCTTTAGTCAAATTGCTTTCCAATCGTGAGTAGTACAAACTACATATGGATAAACATTTTTATGATTAGGTCTGTTTGTTTGACAAGTAAACAATATATGGCAGATAAATTGATCAATCCAGGAATCAAATGCGACCGAACTAAACAAAGCCAATAGAAGGTTCAAACGGACGACTTAAGTGTGGGAGAGCCATGCTTCGGCACAAATGGGTCGGCTCGACCGGAGTGATACCACGGCCTTACAGAAAACCGGCGTGAAATAACCACGGCGTTGTGTTTCGCCGTGTGAGTGAGGTTACCGGTGGCCCAATCCTTCCCCTCCCCTAATCCCTTCTCAATCCCTAAATCTCCAAATCCCTAATCCCTAAATCTCCAAATCCCTAATTCCTAAAAGGTCGGCAACGCACTCGTCACTCTTTCGTTGCAGGTGTCCATGGGCAGCGCTGATTGCTTACCATCAGGTAATCCGTCTGCTCGATCGCCGACATATTACATAAAAAAAAAATTAAGCCTGGCTTGCGGGGTAAGCGCGGCCTCGGCCTAGAGCAGGAGAAGGAACGGGGGCGTTTTAGTCAGTAAAAGAGTCTGACACACACACTCCCTTTTGCCACAATCTGGGCAGAAGAAGAGAAGATGATGATGACGATTTTCCCCTAACAAAAAAAAATGCATTTATAAGCCATAACACGCGCAAAGGCATACGAAAAATAATTAAAAAGACTTGCTCAGAGCATGGCGGTGAAAATTTAACTTTTTTTTGCATTTCCCAACGGTCTGCGGACCAATCCGATTTGGCTCGAGCAAAGCCAACAAAACAAAAACTTGAGAGAGGAGAGGTGGTCGAAAATAAATTGAAAAATTACATTTGTCTTATTTATTTCATATAATTATGTTTGTATTTTGCCGGTAAACGAATGAATAGTATCAAACAAGTGATTTAACTAGTTCCGAATTTTTTTATTTCCATATTTTTCGGTACCTTGGGTCGCTTATCCAAGGGAATGGTGAGATAAAACCACACCGGGCATTAGGCTAAAGCAAGTAATAACTAGCGAAGCACTTGTTTTATAAGATACTTTTATCTGAAATACAATTTATTACATATTGAGTATCACTCGAGTGACGTCACGGACGTGTTACGGTGCACATCAGCTGTTCGTATTTACAAAGATTTAAAATATCATACGCGGCTTATTCCGTTTTGGGTGTATATCACAGTAACGCCTACAGTTTAACTTACGTGCGAGTGCTTTTTCCAAAGTGAATATCGGTGGTTTGGTGGCGTAAATACTTAAAAACTAATTTTAAATTATTTTACATCCAATAAATTGAAGCTACTTTAACATTTTAATTTGGCTTGTTACCTCCAAAAGTGTAATCAAACAAGTGTTGCCGGTATAAATCAATTTATTGAGCGGAGCAGGTGCCATCTCGCGTTGACAGGGAGACAACTGTGAAGGACGTTTTACGCCATCTATCGGTTTTTAACCGTACTTGGTGCACGATGGTAAAGTGCGCGGCTTGCGGAAAGTTCCTGTCGGCAAAAGGGGGCGCTACTTGTGGCAACTTTGCTTGTCACAACCGATATCATCTCGCTTGTTTGCCCGATGCGGCGCCGACAGGCAGCGATTGGTTGTGCCCTGAATGCAGAAGCAGACTGCCGAAGGGTGATAATAGCGCCACGCCCGTTAGGGGCCTGGGTCCGGTGACTGCGGCGGCCGTGGTAGCTACGCCAGATCAAGGCGCTGCGAACAAGTCGCCGGTAAGGGTGACCCACACCCAAAACGCTCTGTCTAAGTTTACGGACTCGAAGGAGGTGCCTCGTACTGGAAGTGATCCTGCAACTGATGGGGAACCGTCACCTGATACTCAACTGAGTCTCCGCGACGAGATTCGGCTTTTCAGGTCTGAGCTGCGGGAGGTGCGGGATGAAATGCGGGAGTTTCGCCGCGAGATGGCTGGCCTGCACTCTACGGTAGGAATCTGTACCGAGAGGGTCGACCACCTGGAGGCCAGAGTTGAGGCTCTAGAAAGTAAACAAAGCGTTGCTATGCCAGACGGCAAAGTTTCGCAGCTCGAGAATCTGGTGTCGCAACTTCGCTTGGAGCTCAATGACCGGGAACAAGATCTGTTTAGCTCCGACCTGGAAATAGCTAACATTCCAGAGATCCCGGGTGAGAACATAGTGCACACGGTTGGGCTGGTGGCGGCGAAGCTTGGGTTGACTGTGGAGGAGCGTGATATCGTGTTTGCTCAACGCGTGGGCCAGAGAGTCGAACGTGAGGGGCGTGCGGCTGGCGCAACGAGCCCAGCGGCAGCGGCAGCGGCGCGTGGCCGGCGCATCGTGGTGCGCCTGACGCGCCGCTCTTTGCGCGATGGGCTGTTGCAGAGCGCACGAGTTCGTCGTGGAGCCACCACAGCGGACCTAGGTCTTCCTACGCCCCCACGTCGTTTTTACTTGAACGAGAGGCTCACTAGAACAAACAAGCACCTATTTTATCGTGTGCGTGAAGCAGCCGGTCAACTTGGATGGCGATACACCTGGACCAAGTATGGACGTATTCTTACTAGGCAGGGTGACGGCAAGCCTACTCACTGTATTCGCACAGAGGAGGATCTGTCTCGTGTTTTTGGCGGTGATGTGTCCGCTGAAAAAGTTGTTTAGCCTATTATTTGGAGATATGATCCACTTAATTTATATAATTTTCAGTACTATTATTTTTCAATTAATTTTGTGTGTGTTTATGTTTTTTAGTGTCCCTTGTGCGAGGTCGGCATCGTCTCTGTCTTGGTGTGTGTTGGTGTTTCTCTGTGGCCTGGCTGTCCGTGCATTTACTGTATGTTCTCTTCTCATATTTATAAACCTTCGGCTTATTCCGTATTATTATAGTACTATTTTAATAAAACGTTACGTATTATCAGTATTATTACATGCATTACTCATTATCTTATATCCTATTATTGATGTGCAAATCAAAAATAACTATAACACACTATACATATTAAAATCTTACCACACTAGTTATCCATTTTACTTAAAGCAGAATTTAACATTAAAATTTACATTACGTTCACATACTTCATGTACACTTCCCAATCTTAAAAATGCATAAGACCAAAAATTTAAAAGTTGGATTGTTTAATGCGGGCTCTCTGGGTTCACGCCATGACGAGTTTATTGTGGCTGTGGGGGATTTGGAGGTGGACATCATGGCCATAAACGAGACTTGGCTCAGGGAGGGGCAGGATGGTCATGCGCCATGCGTACCAGGGTACCGGCTGCGCCACGTGCCCCGGGCGCGCAGCGTGCGCGGCGGGCGCGGCGGCGGCGTGGGCTTCTATGTGCGGCGCGGGGTGCGCGCGCGTACCGTGCCGCACCCGGCCGCGCCCGACGTCGAGCAGATGTGGCTCCGACTGAACGTTAACTCGCACTCAGTTATCGTCGGTACGGCATACAGGCCTCCGTGGCTTGATGTCAACATCTTTCTGGATGCAATGGCCGACACCCTCACATCCTTTGCCAGTGCAGATAAGGTTATATTGTTGGGAGATTTTAATATAAACATGTTGAACCAGTCTGAGAACAAAACTAAATTACTCAACAATTTCTTGCTATGCTTCAAGCTAAGCCAAATTGTTACTGAGCCTACACATTTCACTGATCACAGTAAAACACTTATTGATGTTGTGTGCACTGATGCCCGTATGCGAAGGATCTCTGTAACACACATACCGGAGCTTGGTCATCATGCAGTAATTTCGACTGAATTTAATTTTAAACTGGAGAAACCTTCCCCTCAATGGGTCACTTATAGACCTGTTAAAGATATACTACTCGACCTTTTTAATGAAGACCTGAATAAGATTGACTGGGAACACATTGAAAGTCTACACGATGTAAATTCTATGGTGGCCACATTTAATAACTACATTTTGAAACTTTTTGATTTACATGCACCCCTTAAAAAGGTTCTTATTAAAGAAAAATGCCATCCCTGGATTACTGACACTATCAAGGAAATGATAAGGTTACGTGACAAGTGGCAAAATAGGGCGAAGGCTACTGGAGCCTCACAACATATTAACTCCTACAAGGAGCTTAAGTACCTTGTTAGGGCTGCTTTGCAGAGTGAGAAGTGTGCATATTTTAAGACTAATATAAATAATAACATTAATCAACCTAAGAAGTTATGGAGACAAATTAAAGCTTCTATTTCTATCTCAAAAGAGCCTGAGCACAGTTTGCCACATTTTTGTAGTGATCCTGAGAAGATAAATGAACACTTTTTGGATGTGCCTGGCAGTGGTAGGGTGTCTGATGCTGACTTAAAATACTTTGAGCACCATAGATTTGGTAACACACATTTCCAGCTGGAGCCAGTTCAGGAAGACACGGTGCTGAAGCTGCTGCACAGTCTTAAGTCGAACGCCCAGGGTTGTGACTGTATCTCACTTGAAATGCTGATGATGACTGTTCCACGTACCCTTGCAGTTATTACAGCTATCATAAATCGTTCCATCACTACTTCCTCGTTCCCAGACCTGTGGAAATTAGCAATAATTAGACCTATTCCTAAGGTATCCAATCCGACAACAGTTAGGGAACTTCGCCCTATTAGCCTACTGCCTTGTCTCTCTAAGGTCCTTGAGAAGGTTGTCTCGCTTCAGTTTCGGGCCTATCTTGAGAAGCACAACATTTTGCCACTTGCTCAGTCAGGTTTTCGCAAGGGGCATAGTACAGCCACAGCACTTCTTGATGTGGTTGGAAACATCCTTGAAGCCAGAGACAAAGGCATGGGGACCATGCTTGTTCTGCTGGACTTTTCTCGTGCTTTTGACTCCATAAACACTGCACTTCTCCTCTCAAAGTTATCCTATTATGGATGTCAGCCCGAGACTGTTCAGTGGTTCAAAAGTTACTTGACTTACCGTTCTCAGTTTGTCCAAGTGACTGGTGAGGGTGATGGAGCCGTTATGTCTTCTAGTCCTGGGTGTGTGAACAGGGGTGTACCGCAGGGGTCGATTCTGGGGCCACTCCTTTTCATTCTATATAGTGCTGACATCATCAACTGCTTACTCAATGCCAGGTTTCACCTCTATGCTGATGACTTGCAGATGTATATGTCTTTTCCACATCACCAGACCGATGATACTGTAAAAAAAATGAATGAAGATCTCAAGAGAATCTCGGCCTGGTCTAGAAGAAACTCACTTGTTTTGAACCCAGTAAAGTCAAAATACATTGTCATCGGATCTAGGGACTTTTTGAATAAAGTGGGTAATGGTGACCTTAATGTATTGATTGATGGGTGTTCCATTGAAAGGGTACAGGAAGCCCGTAATCTTGGTGTACTGTTTGATGAGCACTTGCATTTTGAATCTCACATCACGGAAGCTGTGCGCAACTGCTTCTACCGACTCAAGCTTCTATATCGTGTGCGTCCCTACTTAAGTGTGGAAATGCGTATCATGCTGTGTGAGTCGCTAATTCTGTCAAAGCTGAACTACGCTGACACTATGTATGGGGCATGCATTCTCGGTAGAAGTAATAAGTTAATCCAGAGAGTTCAAAATGCTTGTGCGAGGTTTTGTTTTAATGTTCCCCCGAGATCCCACATAACTCCATTCCTGAATAGGGGTGGTTTGTTGAAAATGTCAGATCGTAGAAAACTTCATCTGGCCACCCTACTCTTTGGAGTTATTCATACAAAGAAACCAGTCTATTTATATAATAAATTGACTTGGTCGCGTGATGTGAACAAAATAAATACCAGAGCATCTTCTTACCTCTTGTTAACTCTGTCCCATAGAACGGCTGCTTTCCGTGGTAGTTTCAAACACACTGCCTCTCATATTTGGAACAATCTGTCTCCACCTCTTCGTGCTATGAAAACAGTTGGTGCTTTTAGTAGAAAGTTTAAGGAAGAATTATTACATGCCCAAAGTATTTCCACATGAACGTACATCTGGTCTGTACACAGTTTGTGTGTAGATTTGTTTCACATTTGGATACTCCAAGCAGCAATTATACACTTCTAAACTTGTCACCTGAATTAGTATTGTTTTGTTTGCACATAATTTTCTATTTTGTATTAATAAAACTATTTTTAATTATTTATTTTCTGATGCTGAACGTATGTTTGTATGAAATACTTTTACGTATGTTTATTTTTCTGACTTCTTTTCTCAAGTACTCTGACAGCCGACCAAACATTACCTATCTCTAGTATATTATTATAGTCTATGCGACCAAATCCAGTGGTGCCACAGACTATGCACTATTTTTGCGCCTGCGTGTCTACGGGCGCCCGCACTTTCCATCGATTGTCTATGACAGAGAGGGACAAACGTTACCTACCGGGGCATGCACGCGTTGGTGTTGATGTATTGTTCTGTGTGCACAACTACATCTTTCTTGTCATTTATATTTATATTTGTACACTATTTATAGAATATTTTTAGTAGGTATTTTATTACTATTATTTTTTTTTTTTGTTTATAATTTTTATATATATCTAATATTTATATATCTCTATATATTTATATATGTTAATCTGTTTCTGTGTTCCGTGAGTATGTCCGTGGCATCACCAGGCCCTATCAGAATACCAGCGCTGCGGTATTTTTACCTACTGGTGAATTATCGCAGCATATGCTGAGATAGTGGCCTTTTTGACCTCGCACAGGTCTTTTATTTTATTTTAATATTATTTTTTTGTTGTTGTTCTGTTTATTATTTTTGTTTGTTTTTTCTTTTTGTATATATAAAATGTAATTGTATTTATTTTCTGTGCGAGTCTCAAATAAATGTTTTTCTTTCTTTCTTTTCTTAAGATAGACCGAGACGTGGCACATCGGATCAACTTAGGATGGATGAAATGGCGACAGGTCACTGGAACAACAGGTTGAAGGGTAAAATCTACAAGTCAGTGATAAGGCCTGTCCTACTGTATGGGTCAGAATGTTGGGCTCTGAAAAAGACGGATGAAAAGCGATTGCATGTAGCAGAGATAAGAATGCTGAGATGGATGTGTAGTGTGACTGTGTACATATTCACAGGATCTCGGATATGTCTCCAATTTCGATAAAAAACTTTTCTATTCAATTAAAAAAAGTGACGAAAATCAATTTAGCTAGATTTCAATTCAACACCCATAAAACCTTGATCGTTCAAATGCTGCCATTTTTGGTAGTCCAACGCATAGGTGATCTTCCGCGTGGTCTTGTCCCTTCCACCTTTCCCTGAACGACCAGGCTCTATGGAATCGCTATACCGTCTAGAGACATGTCCGAAGTACTGTAAAATGCGCGACTGTACTACGGCAGATAAACGCTGTGCGATGCTCAATTCTTGAAGTATAGACACGTTGGCGCGGAAAGAAAAAAGTTAATTTGATTAAATTTGTTTTTTTATAATATTTTAGTAAAGTACCCTTTATGATACAGACCTGAGAGAAAGTGATGTGCAAGGAAGGTGGTCGATGGAAGTGTCCCATTCTTGTCAGTGGATACTTGTACAACGATGCCGCGCCATTACACCCATTCTGTCTGTAACAAAGAAATAAATATAGGTTTAGTATGAGGGTGTTATAAAAAATTAAAACTTCAATGTTTTTGTGTCCGCAACGAAGCAGTAAACTTAACTAGTTGCCGTGGTGGGCCAATGTGACATTTTCCTTTGCTCAGCAGTGGGCACTTATAGGCTAATGATGTTAAACTTTTAATTGTTATAAAAAATCTTGTTACAGATCCCAACTAATATTATAAATTGGAAAGTAACTCTTTCTGTCTGTCTGTCTTTTCTTCGTGCCTATACTACTGAACCGTTTTCTGTGAAATTTGGTACAGACATACATTGTTTGGAACTCGAGAAAGGACATAACAATAAAGGATAGTTTTTATACTAAAAATCTGCAAGAAGTTACTATTCCACGCGAAAAAAGTGGCGGGCAAAAGCTAGTAAGATCTTAATAAGTTGTATAAACAAATGAAAATAAATAAATACATTTTTTGTATGTTTGTTGGTACGTTAATAGACACGAAAGATTTGCAGGACATGGGATTTCATGCACATTTTATTTAATTTATTTTAGCAAACTATGACGTCCATGGCAACATGGTGTGCGTCTACAAGTCAGGAAGAATTTGAATATTGCTATCCTAAACTCCCAATTTTTTTTTTATTAAAATGCATAATTCATTCTGTCATGCAGTTAATTGGTATTTTAAACTTTAGTTTGCCAGTGTTAGCATTTTTCGCTGTTGTATTTTGTGGATAACTAATAATAAAGTATCTATTTTTTTGATTAAAAAATCGAACAGAATACTTCGTTAAGCAAACGATTCGCTCAAATCGACGAAATAAAAAACATAGAGCTATGTTTGTATGTTAATGCAACAAAATAAAAACGCTATAAAACCAGAACGTTTAAGGACAGAATTAATTAGAGTAAATTTAAAAAAGGCCTTTTTTAACTGAAGCAAAAATGTCTGTACGTGTTTCGTCATCTTAATGACGTCACTTTCCGTTGATAAAGTCGACGTAGAAATGTTGATATTTATTTTATCCGAAAATTTAAAATGACAACAAACAGCGTTATTTTGGCAGGGCCCGAGAAACATTAGATAGAGCTACGTAAAGAAATAAAAATATTTGGTTTTCGTATTTTTCTTCTATGTTATGGTTATATAGGTAAATGTTAAGAAAGATGGAAATCATAAAAGAATCCGAAACTATTTTGACAAAACTTGACACAGGCATTTTGGAGTGGTGCTACCTGGGTCTCGCTTGACAAAAGTCATCCTGACCAGACCAATGCATGCCTGTAATCTTTTATAATGTAGGATGCGACTTTATTTTATTTAATTTCTGGTATACTTTAAGTGTGGGAGAGCCATGCTTCGGCACGAATGGGTCGGATCGACCGGACTGATACCACGGCCTCACAGAAAACCGGCGTGAAATAACCACAGCGTTGTGTTTCGCCGTGTGAGTGAGGTTACCGGAGGCCCAATCCTTCCCTTCCCCCAATCCCTCCTAAATCCCTAAATCTCCAAATCCCTAATCCCTAAAAGAAAGAAAGAAAGAAAAGAAAGAAAAATTATTTATTTGCACCGCAAAAATTAAAAAAAAAAGACACATTATGTACAACTTTTATAAGGAAAGTATACACGGCGCAAAAAGGCCAAGTGCTCAGCTAAAATGCCGTGACCCGAGAGTACGAGTTGTAGAAGTGTAGATGTATAAGGTGTATATGAGTATATGTTAAAATTATATAATACGAAATTATGATAAAACTTTTAAGATATAAAATTATGAAATTATGAAATATATACACATATCACATTGTCATGTAAAAAACTTTTTTTTTTTTTGGTCGGAAACAGTACCACGGTAAAGCAGACTTTAAAAAGGTCGGCAACGCACTCGTAACTCCTCCGTTGCGAGTGTCCATGGGCGGCACTGATTGCTTACCATCAGGTAATCCGTCTGCTCGTTTGCCGACCTATTACATAAAAAAGAAAAAAAAAATACGAGAGTTTATTGAAGACGGTCTTGTCATTGATTAATGAATAAATATTATAATTTTTTAATTGTAAGTACCTATTTCACTTTTGTTTATTTATTTACTTAAATTAAAATTAATGCACTACCTAAGCGTACGTTCCCTCATAAATGTAGAATATTTTTTTCTTGTGTGTCTTTTAGAAATAAGGTTGGTTTAAAGAAAAATCTACACATAGGTCGGGAAATATGTGGGGCGGGTCGCTAGTCTTTAAATTAATATAGAATTACACACGGTTTCTGAAAGGCTTGTCAACGCTAAAATTAATTAATCTCTTGAGTCATCTGATTGGTTGTTGATAATTCAGTCAACCAATCAGATGACTTGACAGGAGATTAAATTGATTTTAACTTTTATTGTGTATCATTTAGTTTTTAAGGTAAGGTAAGGTATGATAGGTATATTACATAATCCAAACCCCGGAGTATATTTTCAGGATTGACAAGGGATATAACGAGAAAGTGATTAAAAGGGTTTAGATATCCTTTCGGCGTGAAAATAATTTTCACATCAAGATAATCGTAGACCCTTCTGATTTATACACCGGTTAATTTAATTTAACATTTAGGTATTTGTATTTTGGGTGTACATATTATAAAATAGCTATTTAAAGGCAGTCCCTGTCGGCTCCTATTAATAGTAGCGTTATATTTTATAGCCTAAAGCCTTCCCCAATAAAAAGACTATCTAACAAAAAAGGATTGTTCATTTTGAACCAGAAGTTCCGGAGATTAGCGCGTTCAATCAAACAAACAAGCAAGCTCTTCAGCTTTATAATTTTAGTCTAATGTAATATTAGATTAGGTACATAAGGGTATTAATAACGTAAAATAATAAGATAACTAATTGTCAACTCACTTTACTGGATAATGAAATACTATTTGTGTGAAGTTAGCTGCAATTCAACTGACATACCTAATATCTAATATGGCACCCTTCAACGTAAATTTGATTCACTTTTACTCGAGACAGTTAAGGTGTGGGAGAGCCATGCTTCGGCACGAATGGGTCGGCTCGACCGGAGTGATACCACGGCCTCACATAAAACCGGCGTGAAATAACCACAGCGTTGTGTTTCGCCGTGTGAGTGAGGTTACCGGAGGCCCAATCCTTCCCCTTCCCAATCCCTCCCCAGTTCCTAAATTTCCAAATCCCTAATCCCTAAAAGGTCGACAACGCACTCGTAACTCCTCCGTTGCGAGTGTCCATGGGCGGCGCTGATTGCTTACCATCAGGTTATCCGTCTGCTCGTTTGCCGACCTATTACATAAAAAAAAGAGACAACTCCATGGACGGACCGATGCATATTTTTATGGTGTTAGTACTGTAAATGGACAGATATTATTTTTGAAAAGAGAATAGTTTTATTTGCTTGAAGTTTCTTGTTTGTTTCTTTTATTTCTTCTTTGTGAGTATACAACCCGTATATTATGAGAAATAAAGTGAATTTAATCAAAACAGTAGAAAAAGACACAAAAAGTTCCGCCCCATTTATTCTTTAGTAAATTATAAACGGCATTACTAACTCGACGATTGCTTTATAAATATCGATTCTATTTTAAATTTCATAAAGCATATATTGGTAAATAACAAGAAAAGAGGTTGCAACCACAAAACTCACGCGCTGTGGTTTTAAACGCAAATGTAATACCATAATCTGCTTAACTTGTTCTCTGTGTTTAATAGGATTACTTAGAGTTTGTTTTAAGTAGGTAAAAGGTGAGTTATGAGTAGATTATCCCGTTGAATTTTGTTTGTACTTACGTAAAATATTGTTACACAATAAAGGATTAGTTACATATGATGTAAAAAACACTATAAGATTACAGCGTTTTTGTTTTTACTAGTTAGATCAAAGGAGGATATATTCAAAGGATATGTAGCCAAGATTGCATGATATATATATTTTTTATATCACATTTTTTGAATTATGAATATTAATAGCCATTAGAATTGATAATATTGTAATCATTAAGATCATTTTGACTTTTGTAGCCAAAGTTTAAATAAAGAATATCATTAGCATTTATATAAAACTATACAGTAACAAAATCATTTTAAAATTCCATTTCCAACAAACTTCTTGCAGTAAAATTGCAATCAATTTTATGAGAAAAGGCTCCTATAAATAGTCCCTAGGTATAGGCAGCTGATAAGTTAGACGCTATGATATATTAGAATAGAATGTGAATTGTGACGTCATACTTATAGAACTATGACGTCACTATAAGTACGGTAAGAAAAGGTTGAATATGTGATTTGACATATTGCTTGTCGTATTGCCTGGCACATCAACCTAACTACTCCGATTTGCTATCGATTTTAAGCTTTAACTTTTTCAAATTTCCACAAATAACATAGTCAGTTTTCCCTAAGTAAAAACTTAAACAAGAACATAAAAATAAGACATTAATATAACTCAACTCAATTGAAACAAAACAGATGAAATATAAAAAAAATATAATTATGTTAGAACTGGGTTCTGCTACTTAATCAGACGCCATATTTCTATTCAAACCAGCCAACAGCGAGAGAACTAAGTAATTTATTTTCCGATAACATAATTAATACCGACAGAAAGTCGGTTTTGCTTGACTGACAGATGAATAGGTTTTAATAATGATTAAAGTTAAACACTTTTTAATAAAAATATAGTCAAGTATTTTATATTTTTTGAAAGAGACCTATTAACAGATAAAACGTAAACAGGTTAAAATTATATCGAACCTCGTTATAATATACATATTTGGCACACAAACAAGTTAAAAGAAAAATCGTACTAAAGAATCGGCATCTTTTTAAATTCTCGTTAAAAGTATATTCCTGTACAATATTTGCACACACGTTTCAAGGAAAACGAACCGATTTTCTCATGAGTAAATAGAGGTTTGTACACAAAGACATGAAAAGCAACGTGTTTGATTTTGTCATACAAAGAACTCTTTTGTATGTGCGCCGTAGCAGGCAAAATGTAGCGTTCAGAGCAGTCGTAGCTGTGCTACGCCGTAGTAGTTTTGACTACGCCGTAGCTCATGTTA